TGAAGGAAGTGTGTCACTGGGGGTGGGGTGGGCTTTGAGGTTTAAAAAGAGCATGGCAGGCTCAGTTTCTCTGTCTCTGTCTGTCTGTCTGTCTCCCTGTCTGTCTCCTTTCTCTCTCTCTCTCTCTCTCTGCCTGCGGATCAGGATGTAGCTCTCATGGAGTGCTCTAGTGGTATGCTCCCCACCATGGTGATAATGGACTAAGCCTCTGAAACTGTAAGCCAGCCCTCAGTCAAATGGTTTCCTCTATATAAGAGTTACCTTGGTCATGGCTCTTTACAGCAACAGAATAGTGACTAAGACAAGAACACAGACTAAGCAGATCTTTTAACCAGTTTATTGCATTTTTACAATAAAAATAAATTAGTTGTACACAAAATAGTGCTGGAAAACAGCCCATATCTGCTCATATAATTCACCATCTACATGCCTCCCCTTTCCATAATAACTTAAACCTGCAGAGGGACATGTTGCCGGTGGTGTCCTCAGGGGTTTCTTGGTTCTACTTCTGCAGTTCACAGGTCAGCCCCGAGGCCCTGGCCTCCACAGTCCCCAGCAGGGACCCTGGGGCTATCACCAGAGCTGAGAACGCCGCTGTGTGTCTCCAAGTCTCTCCCATCCCCTCAGCCCAAGCCGTCCACAGCTCTGACCTGAGCAGTGAGGCAGGTGAAGCTAACGGCAGGCCACACTGAGAAGGAAAGGATGAGAAAGACCAGTTACCTTTCCTTCTCCCAGTGTCTGCGTGTGAGGAGAGGGCAGATCATATGAGAAATTATAATATTTAAGACAGAAAGGTGGCAGGCTTAGTCAGGTACAATACCAGTGAGGAGAGCCCCTGAATACATCAAAAGCAGAGTTAGTTATATTTGATTTTAAACCCCTAAAAGTTTGGCCAATCACTATATAAACAGCTGTAAGGAATAAGACACTGGGGTGCAGCAATGTACCAGGAAGCTGGCTTTACCAATCAAACAATTTTATGCAAATGTGGATGGCATATGTAAATAAATACCTATTAGTTTCCTTTACAATGAACACAGTCTAAATGACAGAACTAGTCTGGCGTTGCAGTCCACTCTGCAGATATAGTTCAGAATACATATTTCCTTTAAACATCTTGTATTTACAGAGAACAAAATAATAAGTTATAGCAAAGGATGTCCTTACGTTGGGTGGATGGTGGGGGGCTTGGGGAGGCCCAGGAAGGTGGGAGTTAGTGGGTATAACAGAATGGACTTTTGTCTCCCTGAGGCCAGGGGCTGAGAGGCCACTTTCCACAGCACAGTTTGGATCCCAACAGAACAAAGACTCAGAGCACAAAGGATGGGGTGGGGTTAGGAAGCTGTTGCTCTTTGTCAGCAAGGGGTCCCTAGGGAAGGCAAAGTGTTCTTACAAGAGATTGGAAACAAATAGCCCAGGCTAGTCAAGGCTGCCTCAGTGGAGTGTTGTGTCCTCAGGCAAGCGATTAGCTGCCCCTGTGTCTGTTTGCTCCTCTGTGAAGCAGAGATGGGAAGATGGCTCTGCCCAGATTGCTAGTGGCTGCCATATGAGGGCACAGGCAGCCTACAGGAAGAGGCACTCATGGGTTTCAAACGGAGACAAGGGAGTAGCAGTTAGGAACGACATGAATGAGTCCCTCGGAGCTGTTCCATTTTGGAGAGCTCCTTCCCACATCCTGACACAGGATCTGGTCTCAGCTGCCACTTCTATGGAGAGTTACTGTCTCCAGGATCCCTGCACCGTAGAAGGTTCCGGCTTGCAGAAAGTTCGTTATTCTGTAAGAGCCAACCAGTTTCACCGAGCCTTCTCCCTCCGACTCCTCAGAGGGCTCTCATGGTGTCCCTTCCTCAGATATCTCACCACAGAAGTCCCTCGCACTGTCTCCAGCAGGCTGCTCTCTCTGTCAGGACTGGAAACCCCCATCTAAACATTCCCTGTGAGCAGTAGTCTTCCTACAGACACCAGCTCTACTCTCAGCCATGTTGTCTCTGTGGCCTTGGTGGCTTGTGGAACGGCTTATACACACATGCATATATGTTTGTTCATGTGGAGGTCAGAGGACAACTTTTGTTCTTCAGAGGCCATCCACCATGTTTTTTTTGAGATATTGGTTTCTCCCTGGCCTGGAACTTACCAAGTAGGCTGGGCTGGCCAGCTAGTGAGCCCCAGGGGTCCTCCTGTCTCTGCCTCCCTAGTGCTGTGATTGCAAGTGAGTACCAACACACTTGGCTTTTTGCATGTGGGTTCTGAGACTCGAACTCAGTTCTTCAGTGGTTTGCTGACTGAGTTAACTCGCTAGTCCAGGGGTCCTTTATATTCTGAGACTTCCTCTCACTCTTTGATCCATTTTGAACTTAGCTGAAATTCCTCCCTTTCTATCACCATTCAACTGTATAGTTATTCTTTTAATCTAAAGGTAGGGCTCCCACCACCTCCCAGTAAACTAAATAAGGCCTTCTCTCCAGGGTTTTAAAACATCTTTTCAGTTCCCTCTTATCCTAGCTGTTGGGTATCCAAGCTCGGGGCATCAGCCAGCTTTCTTCTAAGACATCTAAGCTATGTGTAAAATGTTTTATCTGGCAAGGATCTGGCCTCCACCTGCAGGCTTGACAGATCATTCACCCTGTTGTGATGTCGTCTTGTTTCATTTTATTCCTTATATTTATATAGGACAACTCTATAGTGTCAATGCTAAGACAGCTATTAATAAACCGAGGCTATCTTGGGCAGGTGCTAGTAATATCCAGATTTCTCCATACCACACAACAAATTAATCTAGCACCTCCCGTTTCTCAGCCCTTTAGAAAGCCACCTTTTAAAAAGAGAAGGTTGGGTGTGAACGAGTAGAGAACAAATATGCGTGCTAAAAGCAAGGAGGGAAGGAGAAACAGAAATCCTGGGCTGCCAAGCTCCCCTGGCTTCTCGCTAGTCTGAGCACGGCTACAAGCAGGGAACTGCTCCCTCTAGCGGCCGGATAGCATATTCCCACCCGGCCCTGAGAGGAAAACAAACAGAGACCCAACAGAGGCTATAAGGAAGGTTTTTTTCCAGTGAGAGACAGCATATGCTTTTCATCTAGGGCTTTGTTGACTTTTGTTGAGAAAGGCTACACAGTAGCTTTAATTTACCCAATTTTTCATTCAGAGCTCACGATGGCACACCAGAAGAAAATCAATATTGAAATATAAGTTTCAGTTTCGCATCACAGCCAAAGAAGGGAATGGAGAGGCCCGAGAAGGAGGTGGTAGATAAAGAACCATCTGCAGGGCCGAGCATCCATCCCTGAGGATCACTGGGGAGGCAAAGGCCCCACTGCCCACACTGTGCAGGAAGGAGGCCGTGCAGGGGATGAAAGGATGCAAGGTTGGCTTTCTAAACAAAATCGACCCCATTCTAAAACTCTGCAACCTTCTAAAGGGACTGAACTCCCGGGGACAGCTCATTTTCCTGGAAAAATCCACTGAACTCAGATGAGGTGTTTTCTAGTTTTGTTGTTGTTTTGTTTGGTGTCTGCCTGAAGAACAGGGCCTGCCCCATTTTCTCTGACCTACACTTACCACAGGAGGATCATTGTCCTTGCTAAGAACTGTGAGGTGACATCTGAGACATAGGATAGACAAAGCCCTCACCAACCCAGCCCAGCCCTGAGAACTTGTGGGTTGGAAGGACCAGAGTGCTCACTCTCTGCAGAGCAGTCCTGTAGGCCCTGTGACCACCCGTTGTGGGGTGGCTTTGATGGCTAGAACACTTTCCTTCCATGGAGCTAATGCCAGCCTTCATTTTACCCACAGATCACGCCCGCCTTACCCTCCGACATGTACACAAACATCTTCCAGGGAATCCTTCAGATGTCTGGCTTGTCCAGCAAGATCTGAGAATGGCTGCATAGAGAGAAAACTGCCCGGGACAAGCCGGAGAACGCACCGACAGCGACTGGCAGGGAACTGGACAGAAGCTGCGCATGCGCGGTGGCTTCTCTCTGCGCTTAGCATGGCTTTCTCTCTGTGCGGTCTCTGCTGGGCTGTGTATCTCCTGTCCCACAGGAGAGGTGGGGCTGCGTGCTGATGGGAACAGATGCTGGGAGGATACTCACAGAAGGCCAAGGCCATCGGGATCCTGACAGAGAGCATCAGACCAGACAGGTTATACCATCCTCACAGCTGTGAGTGGTCACAGTGCAGGCTGGTTCATGGAGGGATCCTGTACTCGGGGTATGTGCTTTCTTTAAGGGAAACATGCCCAGAACCCAAAATCATTTCTGTAAGTTTACAATTTTTAAGAAAAAAAAATTCTCTTAATTGTCCCCCCCCTCCCCCAACCACGGCATCCCAAGATGGTTCATCTTTCAATAAACACTGTGTCCCTTTAGGCCTGGGGCCTCTGGAATTACAGCTGGGCAGAGTGACTCAGCAGAGATACGGAGGGCTTCCTAACTTCTTTTCCCAGATCTGCAGCACTAAAACTGGTCTCGAATAAGGCCCTTTCTATTGCAATATGATGTTGTTGGGATAACTGGCTTGGCTTTCCCCTGGAAGAACCCAGGAGAGAGAGAAGAGCCCGTGGGATTTGGGAGTTTGCTCCAGCTCCAGAGTAGCTTGTCTCTCGGGACAGTTCTGTTGAGAACGGAACTTAGCAAACACCAGAGTCCTGTCAGTACGAGTTGTGGCCGAGGGAAGGGGGTCAGGGGTGCGGACATCTTGAACGAACTAAGCGCTCATTTGAGGCAGCACTTGGGGACAGAGGAAGGGTCTCAGAAGCCTGGGATGTTCATAGAATGAGAAACTTCTTGGCTTCCTGGTCAGACAGGAAGTCCCTATTTGTCTTTCAGACTCTAGGTCCTGACCAGAGCCCAGACTGGTCACCGGAGGTGCTGTGGGGTGAGGCTTGTGCTAAACCATCTGGGGTAGGCACTTAGCCTTGTCCCCAAACAACAGCTCAGTCACCCTAGTAGATCCTCAGTCTCCTTGCTAGTAAAGTGGGAGCACATATTCACCCCCTTGCCTCCCATTCTGGGACACTGCAGCCTCCAGGGAGCTAACGTCTGAGAATGTGTGTACCTGCTAAACAAGAAAGCACTCTATGGTGAGATACCTCTGTTCCCGGGGCAGGAAACTGTCCATTGTCTTTAAGAATGGCATTGGACACAGCTGGGCTGAGGTAACAGAGGTGCACAGGTCTCAGCAAGGTTTGTCGGTGCCGCAGGATGGGGTGCTGCCCTCTCTTGACTTTCCAAGGGCGTTCTATTTTTGGACAGGCCAGTAGTACCAGGAAGGAGGCTGTGCTTGGTCAGTGGTCCAGCTGCCTTGGATGGCAGCAGGCCTGGAGTTGGGATGAGAGCTGTATGCTTGATTTTCAGAAGGCATCATCAGCAGGTACCAGGACCCAAGGAAGGTCGTCATCAGGATAGGGCAATGCTCAAAGGGACAGCCATGGCTTTCTAATCCTGGGTACCATGTGGTACGCTTTATGAAGGTGAGAATGGGGTCCCGGTGGAGCAACAACCAGCCAGGTGCACTGGTTGTAACCCCAGGAGGGCAGGAGTGTTATCGGCTCCCCAGAAAGCCTGTGTGTCTGTTGGCCACTCGGGTGCAAGAGGCACAGCAGGCGGTCTTGTAGTAGTTGTAGACACAGAGGCGCGCCTGGACCACCACGTTGCAGTTGTAGTACTTGTCCTTGCAGTTTTCATCTACGGTGGAAGAGAACAGAAGAGATTCCTGAGCCCAAGAGGCAGCCAGGACCAGCAGGAAGAGAGAAGACACAGCACTTCACATGGGCCCTGTTCCTGTGTGTGTGTGTGTGTTTGTGTGTGTGTGTGTATGGATGTATGTGGGGGTGTATGGATGTGTATATGTATATATGTGGGGTACATGTATTTGTTTGTATGTATGTATGTATGTATGTATGTATGTATGTATGGGTCTAGGTGTGTCTGTATGAGTCTGTGTGAAAACACGCAGAAACCAGCGTAGGATGTCAGAGATGTCAGGGAGGGGCCTTGTTAGGGCTCAGTAGAAATAGGAAGGCGTTGAGAGAGGATAATGAGGGATATAAAAGTGACCTCCAAATATTAAATATGTATATGAGCCTGTCAAAGAATGATAAAGGAAAAAGACATTTGAGAAATAAGGTGAAGAGCGGATTTGGAAGACAGCCAATGACTCTGGCCTCCACATATATGCTCATGCGTGTGGGCAGAGACAGAGGGAGGAATGGGGGGAGAGACAGAGACAGACAGACAGACAGACAGACAGACAGATGGGGGGTGGGGGAGGGAGAGAGGGAGAGAATATATGTGTCCAGGGATAGTGGGCATGTCTGTAATCCCAGCACTTGAGAGGCCGAAATTTGAATTTCAGGAGTTCAAGGTCAGCCAGGGTAGCATAGTAAGACCCCGTCTCAAACAAATAATAATAGTGACCATGATGAAGATACTGGACAGGGATGACAAACACCAGATGAGGGTTTCCTCCCAGAGAGAGGCAAGGAGAGGACGATGCGCCATTTTTTAATTCTTGTTAAAGTAAGTTTAGCTGGTGCTGTGTGCATGGGTGTGGGGTGATTTACCTGAGCATGGGTAGCTTATAGTGGCTACACCACCAAAGAAAGTGGCTCCTCCTCAGCCACCACAGATAACATATACAGCTCCTTAGTCTCCGCTCAGCCTTCCTCCTCCACCTAGATTTCTCGTCACTGAACCAGGACCTCACTGATTGGCTAGTCAGGTTAGCCAGCTCCCTGTCTCCCCTTCCCCAGGGCTGGGGTCACCCAGCTATTATGAGGGTACTGCGGGTCTGAACTCAGGTCCTCCCGCTTGTACAGCAAGTACTTTACCCACTGAGCTACCTCCCCTGGCCCCTGTGATAGTTTGTTTATTTTTAAAAAAGATCTATCTATCTATCTATCTGCCTATCTATCTGTCTGTCTATCTGTCTGTCTATCTATCTACTGTAGAGTGCTCTATCTGCATGTACACCTACATTCCAGAGTTAGGATCTCATTACAGATGGTTGTGAGCCACCACGTAGTTGCTGGGAATCGAACTCAGGTCCTCTGGAAGAGCAGCCAGTGCTCTTAACCACTGAGCCCTCTCTCCATCTCCCATTTCTCTTTAACCAACCACCGTGACACCTAAATTTAAGAAAATGTAAATATTCACATAGCTCCTAGCCACTTTTTTTGGAATTGAATTTATGCATCTGTTTCTATCACTAGAGAGGGTAGCCACGTGAATATATGATGTATGCATTTCCCATTGGTGGACGTTTCTTTCCATTTTTTTTCCTGTTATAAATAGTGCTCTTTTAAGTGAATTTTTAAGTGTTCTTTCTGAGTTTTAAAACACATCCAGCCTTACTCGATGTGATGGCTGCCCTCCAAACTATGGGAAGCTATTTGTATTTCTCTTGGCAGAACAGCGGAATTCCATTTTGGGGGTTGGTGGGGGATGGCAGGGCAGTGGGAAGAAGACAGGGTGTCATGTAGCTTCAGCTGGCCTTGATCCTGGAGAATGAGAAGTCCTAATCCTCCTGCCTCCATCTCCAGTGCTGGGTACCACCATACATGGTTTATGCTGTGCTGGCAATCAATCCCAGGGCACTGTACATGCTAGGCAAGCACTCTGTAGCTGAAGAGCACCCCCAGGTCAGCAGAACTGTCCCCCACCGTGGGCTGTATTTGTGTTTGTCTAGTGAATGCTAAACTCTTCCTGTGAGGTGAACACATTGTATCAGTGTTTGCTGCTCAGGCCCCCCTTTGCTGCGGACAGCTCTCCTTTTGCCTGGGAACTCACAAGTTCTGTCTACGCCATAGATCTGGTCTTCACCGGTTGCCGTGTTGCTAGCATCTCTCTACACTTGTAGCTCCTCTTGACACAGCTTTTATGATGCCATGTGATCAGCAGACACTTGATGTTGTAATGTTATTGGCATCGTAGTGGTTTCCCTTGTAACCACTCTGGGGTTTTCATTTAAGAAATTCTTCCCTACTCTTAAGATAAAACATCCCCCCCTCCCAAGTCTTTCCTTAAAGTTTAAATTTTCTGATTATATTTATTTCCTTAATTCTTCAGGAATTGGTGAAGGTGGTGGTGATTGTGTGTGTGTGTGTGAGTGTGTAAGAGTGTGTGTATGCACGCTCACAAGCACACGTGTGTATTGAGAGGCAGGGATTCAATATTGCTGTTTTTCCATATATGTAAGCGTATAGGAACTATTTTATTATCATTTGACAGCACACCCTTTCCTCAGGCTCCTGTGCTAACTCCACCAAGTACCAAGCATCCTTGGTTTATTTGGAAACTTCCTGTTGTTTGCTTTTACCTGTTCACCTCTCCTTGTGCTGGCATGCCTTTGTTTGTGGCAGACTAAGTCCCTTAACGCTGTTATCCTCAAAACTTCCCTGGATAGTCTTTGCTGTTATTCGATATAATCAATTTGATATATCCGATACATATTTGATATATCCAATTTAAAAGATCCTGTATGGATTTTGACTGATATCACGAGAGGGCTGGGAAGAAGGCTCAGGTGCTACCGTGTAGGTGTGAGGACCCAAGTTTGAGTCTCAGGACCCACATGGAAGAACTGTGCATGTAGCGTAGCTTGTAATCCTGGGCTGGGAGAATGGGACAGGGAGATCGCTGAAGTTTCCTGCAAGCCAGCCTACATCAGCCAAGCACAGGCCAGTGACAGACACCAGCTTAAATAAATAAAGAAGGGAGAGGGTAAGGAAGAAGAGACATAAGAAAATACTTGAAACACATCCTAGGAAAATATGCTACAATTAGTATGAAGGACTCTGTAGGCAGGAGGCTTCAAAATAAATATTGATAGAATTCCCGTGTCTGGGTTGTGCACACAAGCTATTTACTTATTTGTCTTGGCAACACCACACAGTTGAAGTGATTTAAATTTGGATCATTAATTGTTCCTCGAATCGCTTTTGAAAAGGTTGCATTTAAAACACAACACTGAAAAAGAAAGTCGTCTCAGGCACGCAGACATGGGTAATTAAAGACGGATAAAACTGCCAGATCCTTGGCATTGACTGTACAGACTTCGAAGCAAGGCGTGGCTGCCATAACCAGTTTGTGTATTCTCGGGACTCATCTCTCAGCCAGCACACACTTGTCCAAACGATTCTCACTAATAAGATGCGAGAGGGCTTTGTTCTGAATTGAGTTTTATGTGTCCCTGACTGGCCTTGAGCTTGGTATTGGAAGATGCTGATCTTGAGAACTTCTGATTCTCCTGCCTCAGCCCTGGAGTGCTGCAATCACCGGCACTCACCACCATGCCTGGTTTATGTGGCGCTAGGATCAAACCCAGGGCTTTGTGATTCATTCTGACATTCAGCCCCGGTCTATGATTTTTCTTTAAAAACTACTCTGGTTTCATCTTCCAGACTTAGCTATGGTATCTTCTCAAGGGAGGAAAACCTATGTCATTTCCAACATAAAATCCAATAAAGAGGAAGAAAAGGAAATTGTAAGGTTAACAGACTGGAATATATAAGTAAATCTTGATAATCATCTATGTGTCTTTAAATGATTCTCAAAGCTAAAGTTAAAAATGTCCAAACCAAGCCGGACAGTGGTGGTGCACGCCTTTAATCCCAGCACTTGGGAGGCAGAGGCAGGTGGATTTCTGAGTTCGAGACCAGCCTGGTCTATAGAGTGTGTTCCAGGACAGCCAGGGCTACACAGAAAAACCCTGTCTCGAAACAAACAAACAAACAAACAAACAAACAAAATGTCCAAACCAGTAGCACACATTATGAGACACAGAGGACATCTCAGTGTGTAATAGTCTTAAACTATGAAATTATAACATCAAAGCATCCTGACCCCCAACCGTTGCACCCCTACCCCCAGACACACTGCTGTGGCTGTGCACACGATCCCAGAGAACCGGCTCAGCCATTTCACCCTGGATAAGTTGACAGAGCAAGAGGAGGCTTGTTTCTCTTCAGGGGGGAGCCCCAAACTCACCAACTTCAGGGACACAGTCCTGAGGGTTACAAGATTCTCTCTCTTCTGGTTTCAACTGGGGGTCGCAGAGGCTACCTGGGGTCATGTCATCTGACAGGCACCGAACTTCCCGTACCCGGAATCCGCCCTGACAGCTCTTGGAGCACTGTGGGGCAAACAGAGAGAAAGCGTCAGACTTCTCAGCAGCCTGTTAGGTCCTTGCACCAGGGAGGATAATCAGGGGAAACTCAAACATCCCCTAAAAGGGAAAATAAGCACTAAAACATACATCCACGCGACACCTAGCAGGTTGGCTACCCGGGTCCTGTCTGCCCCCCTCCCACGCCCACTCCTTGCTTGCACTGTTTTGAGTGAATTCTAGTCTCCCACCACACCTTCCATAATATTTTATGGCTCCAAAAGGAAGGAGCCTTAGAAACGGACCACTGCTGTGCCTTATCGTCTTCATACTTATGCATCTACTATTTCTAGTCTCGTTTTAAAAAAAATTGGTGAATCTTTCAGATTTTAAAAATAGTTTTTTTGTTTTTTTTTTTAAATCAGGGTCAGGGTGGAGGAAAGCCAGACACGGGTAGGCATGGAATGTATTGCCTAAGTGTAAGACATTTCCAAATGATAAATACGAAGTATTATTAAAAAAAAAAAACTAAACAAAACAGGGGCTGGAGAGATGGCTCAGAGATTAAGAGCACTGCTGTTCTTCCAGAGGACCTGAGTTCAACTCCTGAGTCCCCGCATGGTGGCTCACAACAGTCTGGAGCTCCAGCCCCAGGAGAGCTGATGCTCTCTCCTCTGCATGGAGGCAGTACACAGCCATATATGCAGGCAAACACCCATACACATAAGATAAAAGAAAACACGAAATTAAAATAATAATAATGAAAACTAGGATCTGTATCTCAGTTATACACTGTAGTTATAATTCTTAATCTAAGCCTGCAGGTCTCCCTTCCGTCACCTTATACTTGTTTATTTTTAATGTTTAAAAATTAAAACAAATTTTCTTTGAGACAGGATCTCACTGTGCAGCCCTGACTTGGCTTGGAGTTCACTCTGTAGACCAAGCTGGCCTGGAACTCATGGAGATCAGCCTGTCTCCCGAGTGCAGGGATTAAAGGTGAGGGCTACCACAGCTGCCGTGATTATTTCTTTTTAATTACATGTATTATGTGTGTTTGCAGGTTCCATGGCCTATGTGTAGAGGTCAGAGAACAACTTGTGGGAGTTGGTTCTGCCTTCCACCATGGTTCTGCCTTTTCACCATGTGAGTCCCAGAGATAGAACTCAGGTCTTCAGGCAGCTAAGTGCCTTTATGTGCTGGGCCTTCTCACTGTTACTTCATTTTTATTAATTTAAATTTTTTTAAATTAATTAAAATATTTAAAACAAAAATATTATTGTTTTTGGAGGCAGGGTCTCATGTAGACCAGGCTAGCCTCAGCTCCCAATGTAGCTGAGGATGGTCTTGAATGTCTCCTTATTGTTTTGAAAATGTTTAGTTATTTTCATCCCTTCCTACCTTTACTCAGCCCTTCCTACTTCCACGGACCCCTTTCCTCTCAACAGGTCCCCTTCCTATTTTCATGTCTGGTTCGCGTGTTTGTTTGTGACCCACTTTAATCAGGGTTGCTTGCATGAACATGGTGGGGGGAAATTTATCAGTGACTAGATAGAAGGAAGTGAGTGCCCCTCCCCTGGCAACCCTTAACTGAGAACAGCTCCTCAGAGAGGGGTGGGACCTCAGGAATCCTTTCCCCACAAGGAATACAGCATCTCTTCATGGGATGGGCCCAGGAGCCTCCCCAGAGTCATCTAGGGACCATTGTGACTTACCATGCTGGGCCCAGGAGTCTCCCCAGAGTCATCTAGGGACCACTGTGACTTACCATGCTCCATTCTGTGCTAAACCATTTAGCTCCACAAGGCTTGAGGTGGCAGGCCTGCTGGCTCGGGGGCTTCTCCAGGAAGGAACACTCATAAGGGTCTAGCACTTCAAAGGTGTCTTCATTCTTCCTAACACAGATCACCTCCCTCTGCTGTGTCCCGCTGCCACACTCGACAGAACACTGGAGAAGAAGCAGAGACAGATGGGTGTCACATGACACAAAGGGGGACAAAAACCACACTCATGGAGGGACATCCTTAATTTCTCCACAGAGGCATATGAGAAAGAGCAAGACAGAGGATACAAGAATGGAAAATGGGGCTGGAGAGATGGCTCAGTGGTTGAGAGCACTGGCTATTCTTCCATAGGACCCAGGTTCAATTCCCAGCACCTACATGGCATCTCACAACTCTCTGTAACTCCAGTCAGAGGGGTTCTGACACCCTTAGTCACAGCTGCAGGCAAAACACCAAGGCTCAGAAAAAAAAAGCTGGCAGAGGCACTGGTAAAACCCACTGTTGATAGGGAATACAGAGGCTGTAGGCAAAATGTCCGCCGAATAACCTAGAAGACCCTAGTTCAGATCCTGAGTACCCATGTCAAAAGCGAGTGTGGCTTTTAGTGTTGGGAGGCAGAGACTGGAGGACCCTGGAGGCTCACTGGTCAGCCAAGGCTAGTCAACTAGTGAGCTCCAGGGTTACAGGGAGAACTTGTCTGAGAAAATAAGGCAGATGCAGATGAAGGAGACACTGGCAATGGCCTGTATGTGATGGTGCAACCGATACCTGATCCCTGCTGCAGCCACGCCCATGGGACTGCACCAGCACCAAGGCTCAGAGAAGGTGGGCCAGGGCCTGGGTCTCAGTGGGTTCTCAAGGACACGGTGCGACACTCCAAAGATAGATCCATTTTTTTCTGTGGGTGATAGCAACCTGGGGCAGAGGCGGTGATGTTTGCAGGGGTGACAACAGCCACACCACTTGGAGTCTTTCCCACTCCATACTGTATTTCTCCCCAGAGGGGCAGTGCTGTAGTTGCTGAGCTGGCAGTCCCACAGCAGCGGGCACAACTGCTCCCATCCTGTTCATGGTTCCACGTCTGCTGTGTGAACGTGGGCCATGGTGTAGCTTCTTGGCACACTGCCAGGGGCAGAGGCCTGGCACAGCTGCCAGGTAAAAAAATTAATAAGCACAGAGAGAGCGCGAGCGGTTCTGAGTTTGACTAAGTGCTTCCCACTGCCAGCCATGGGTGATACCTCTGTGATGGCTAACCTTGGCTGTCAGCTTGACACACCTGGGAAGAGCGAGCTTCAGTTAAGGAGTGGCCTCCATCAGATTGGCCTGTGGACATTTTCTTGAGTGTTAATTGATGTAGGAGGACCCAGCCCACTGCGGGCGGTACTATCCCTAGGCAGGCGGGCCTGGGCTCTATAAGAAAGGTAGCTGACTCTGAGCCTGAGGGAGCCAGTAAGCTTCTTCTGAAGTGCCTTGCTTAAGCTCCTGCCCTGACCTCCTTCGATGATGGACGGTGACCTAGAAAAGCATCGAAAGAAACGGACCCTCTCCTCCCCAGTTTGTTTTTGGTCCAAGTGTTTTATCATAGCAGCAGGAAAGCAAAGTAAGAGATATATCCTAGCAGCCCATGGAGGTTGGCATTTGCCTCTGTGATTGAGACAAGGAAACAGTCTCAGGGAAGTGAAATTATCTTATCAAGTCAGGAACCCCTTAGATTGGAGCTGGGTTCAGTTATGTCAGCATCTACCAGGGATGCCCATGAGAACAGCCCTGGAAATACTCCAACCCAGTCCTCTGAATCTTCTGAATTTTACAGATTTTATCAGTCAAAGTAGAAAAAGTCTAAGGAAAAAAAAAACCATTTCCCCATACTGTCTACATAAAACCAATTCATTTAAATAGTTGAGATGATAAAATTATATATTTTTTTCATAATAGGGTGTCCTGTAGCCTAGGCTGGCTTCAACCATGTAGCCTAAGATGATTTTGAACTTATGATCTTTCTGCCTCTAGCTTCCAAGTTCTGGAATTACAGACATGCACAAACATGGCTGATTTTATTAGTGCTGAAGACTGAACCTGGGGCTTCATGTATGTTAGGCAAATTGCCACCTGAAGCACTCCTGCGTGAATATGAAAATATATATACACACACATATATATAAAATGTGTGTGTGTAGGCTTTACCTGCATGTATGTATTATGAACCCACAGAACCAGAAGAGGGTATCGGGTCCCCTGGAACTGGAGTTAAGGATGGCTGTGATTCTCCCACATGTACAAGGAACTGAACTCAGGTCTCCAGTAGGAGCAGCAGTGCTCTGAACTGTCAGCCATCCCCAACATCCCTCCAGCACCAGGTCTTGCCTTTTCATACTCTGTGACTGGCTACTGTATATGTGCACCTTAGATACTCTAATGATTGTTGTCGTTATTGTTGTTTTTATATGTTTTTGAGACAGTATCATATGTAGATGTGATATCCATGTCATATTTTACCGGGTAAGGTCAAATGATAAAATCCTGAGATCAGGAGCATTCTTGTTGAAGAATTTTTTTTTCCCTTTGAATAATTGCTTTTTAAAAAATGCATTTTGAGACAAGTTCTCATGATGTATTCCTGGCTCTTCTGGAACTCACTATGTAGACCAGGCTGTCCTTGAACTCACTGAAATCTACTGCCTCTGTCTCAGGGGGTCAGGACTAAAGGCGTGCACCACCATGCCCAGCTGACGATTACATCCTTAAAATAGATCCACATGGTGGGATGACTGAGGAAAGACGAATGGTGTTTTCTGCCTCCTGCCCTTTGCTGTCAACTTGCTTTCCAAAGGGCCTGTATCAGTTACAGGGAAAGGCCGGCCAATTTTATCAAGGTCTGTCTTTGAAGCTACTTTAAAAAATTCTTCCGGAGCCAGCGTCTGGATACTGTGCACATCATGACCTTCAGCCAAAGTCCTTGGAGAAGCAGCCAGCCCTGGGAGCCAGAGCTAAAAGGGCCAAGAACTCAAATCCAGGCAGGCAGTGGGGGTGGGTAGGATAGGGGCTATGGCAGAGCCGTCACTGGGATGGCTCTCTAGATTTTTCTCAGGGGTTCATATTCAATGCTGGAACAAGGAGGGAAATCAGCTCAGTGATTTGTAAGTTACTTTAGTTTAGTATCTGCTCCTTATAACATAAACTTCCAGCTTTAAAACAAATTGTGGTGAGCTGGTGAGATGGCTCAGTGGTTAAGAACACTGGCTTCTCTTCTAGATGTCCTGTGTTCAATTCCCAACAACCACATAGTGGTTAAGACCATCTATAAAGGGATCTGATGGCCTCTTCTGGCATACATGTGTACATGTAAACTGAGCACACCAATATAAACAAACAAACAAGTATCTGTGTATATGATGTATGTGCATATGTGTGTGAGTGAAGGCAAACATGTACCATGCTGCATGTCTGGAGGTCACAAGTTTGCACAGGACCTTCACATTCTGCTTTGAGGCAGGGTCTCTTGCTGTTCGCTCTCTTGCTGTATTCCAGGCTGCCTGGCTTGCAGACCTCCATGGATTCTTCTGTCTCCCTCTCCCATCTCAGCTGGGAAGTACCGGGATTACAGACATGTGCTACCGTGTCGGCTTTCACATGGCTTCTGGGGAATCTAAACACAGGCCCTCGTGCTTGTGAGACAAATACTTTATCCAATCTCTCAGGCCCCTATCTCCGTGTATATATATATATATTTAGTTTTTCAAGACAAGGTTTCTCTGTGTTGCCTTGACTGTCCTGGAACTCACTCTGTAGACCAGACTTCTTGAACTCAGATCCACCTGCCTCTGCCTCCGGAGTGAGGGGATTCAAGTTGTGAACCACCATGCTTGGCCCCAACTCCGGGATTTTAAAAGTCAGTTTCTGACACTGTTGAGTACTAACAAACCACCTAACAGTAATGACACAGCAGCTGCCACCGCCTGCTGCATTTACTGTATGTCAGGCTTCTCATGTTCATTCCCTGAGACACAGAGATTTGCTTTGTTCACTGATGTAGCTCACATGCTTAAGTGAGCACGCAGTAGGTGCACACTGAACCTTCTTGGCGGAACAAGGTGCTTAACTCAGCACACAGTAGGTGCACACTGAATCTTGTTGACTGAACAAGGTGCTCAAGTGAGCACACAGTAGGTGCACACTGAACCTTCTTGGCTGAACACTTAACAAGGTGCTTAACACAGTACATAGTAGGTGCACACTGATCTTGTTGGCTGAACAATGTGCTTAGGTGAGCACGCAGGGAGGGTGCACCTTGCTGAATGACCCACCAAGAACATTACAGCTTTTGGCAGGCAGCTAGTAGCGTAGCCAGATTTGGAGCTGTCTTCTAACCCCTCTGTTACATTGCTTCTTCCGGGGATGGCAGATGTACCCAGCTCTGACTACCCACCTGACTCCAGCTGCCAGCGAACCACTCCACTTTGCCTGTGCAGGGCCCATTGTCACATGGTGTAGCCTCCGCTGGCCTGTTGTTCCCGCAGCCTTCCAACGGCAGACTGCTGACGTGGTTGGTCATGCACACCACGGAACGTGTCCTCACTCCAGTTCCACACTCGGCTGAGCACTGTGAGACAGAAGAAAGGACGTATTAGTGGGGTCCTTGCAGGTCCTGGGGATACTTCCAAATGATGCCAAGGACTTACCGTCCCTCCAGCTCTCTCTTCTATAGATATCTGACAAGCTTTTGCCACTCAGGACAGACTCCATGATGGGAGTATCCTCCTAATCTATTGCTTTTGCCTTCTAGGGTTTTAGTTACTCACAGACACATGTTTGTATGTGTTATGTGGGAAACTCTAGAAACAAACAATTCGTCAATCTTAAGTGGTCCCGACTATCCCATTCTTCAGGACATATGTCCCAGTATTCCATCCTGTGACCTGTTCTAGATAGTCAGCGTTGCTGCAGTCCCATGACCACATGAGAGGCTCTGACAGCACATGGTCCCCTCTTCCTGGATGTTCTCTCCTTCACTAGGAAACACCAGAAGCTTGAGGGCCGGACTTCAGTGCCCTTTCCTCTGAAGCATCCTTGCCTGCCCCTTTTAACATACTCTTCGCCACCTTTGAAGTCACGTGGTTCTCTACCCACTCTCTTCCTTTGTTTTTTTTTAAATTGTTTAAAATTTTTGTGTGTAAGCCGGGCAGTGGTGGCGCATGCCTTTAATCCCAGCACTTGGGAGGCAGAGGCAGGCGGATCTCTGATTTCGAGAGTTCGAGGCCAGCCTGGTCTACAGAGTGAGTTCCAGGACAGCCAGGGCTACACAGAGAAACCCTGTCTTGAAAAACAAAAAAACAAAGAAAACAAAAAATTTTTGTGTGTAAATACAGTGCATAAGTATGTATATATGCTTGTGTGTGTGCATGTGTGTGTGTGTGTGTGTGTGTGTGTGTGCACAGGCAGGTGGGGGCCTGAAGTTCATGTTGGTGTGCCCTCCTCAACTACTCTCTACCTTATTTTTTTGGGTCAGGGGCTCTCACTGAGCGGGAAGCTAACTCATTTAGCCACAGTGGCTGAGCAATGAGCCCCAGGGATCTATCCCTCCAGTGCCAGGCGCTGTAAGAAAATTCTTTCCCTTAGAGATGGGGAGTTGGTTGTGAGATGATCAGTTAACTAACCTTCCTCTAATCTCACTTCTCCTCATGTCTCTGTCATTCCCACACTTATGTCCCCTGATAGCCACACCCCTTTCTCTCACTGTTACTCCACTATGTATACATGAGCCCTCCAGATAAGCTTCCCTTCTGTGGTCTTCCCTTCTTTCCTTTGTCACAAATCAAATCTATATACAGTTGTCTAGACAATCTTTTGTTAGTTCAAGCACAGGCTGAAAGTCAGAGAGCGTATGGGTAGAGGTAGTCCCCCCCTCCCCCAGGGTCACGCGCTGTTCCTATGACTTTAGCTCTGTTCGTACCGTTGTAAGAATTCTGAGACACTGAGTCAATTCCTTGGGTTTAAAAAACCATTTGTTACAGTAAGTGGAATAATCCAGGCTGGAGACACGTTTGTTCTAGCCCCGTGTGGTCTGACGTGTGGTCACAACTGTACAACTCAAGGTCTTTAACATCTCTTGTGAAGAATAAGAAGTAAAGTCATGACAGTTGGAGAGATGGCTCAGAAGTACTAGAGCTTGCTAGCTGGGCATGGAGGTGCCCACCTTTAATCCTAGCACCTGGGAGGCAGAGGCAGGCAGAGCTCTGTGAATTTGAAGCCAGCCTGGTCTATACAGTGAGTTCTATGTCAGAACTACATAAAGAGGCTCTATCAAACAAAACAAAACAAAACAAAACAAAACAACAAAAAACAAACACCAAGTGCCAGCTGCTTTTGCAGAGAACCTAAGTTTGGTTCCAGCATCCACACTGAACAGATCACAGCTGCGTATAACTCTAGAGTCATAAAACATAATGCCCTCTACTGTCATCTGTGGCCGCCCATACACATGGCATCCACACACATACACACATGTATTCTTACATGTAAACATAGCACCTTTACACATATACATACACATGGCATCCACACACATGCACATGGCATCCACACACATG